CTGTAGCTCAGTGGTTAACTCACTTTGCAAGTGAGAGACCTGGGTTCGATTCCCAGCAGGGTGAAACCTTGGGCAAGTTTCCTTATTCCACACGTCTGATAATAATCTCTCAAGAAAATAAAACAATAATAAATTGGTCACTGCAATCCACGACTGTTTGTGGGACACTGCTGTGCGCAATTGGCTGCCGCATTTCCCCCACAAATATAGAGTCAATTCACTTTACAGTCTATTCTGTGAAGCGCTTTGAGACATCTAGAAGACGTGAAAAGTACTATAACAAATGTAAGGATTATTATTATTATTAGTATACAGCACAGAAGGAGGCCATTCAGCCCACCGTGTCTGTGCCAGCTCTTTGAAAAGAGCTATCCAAATCAATCCCACTCCCCATAGCCCTGCAAACTTGTCCTCCCCAAATCATTATCTACTTCTCTCTTAAAAGTTGGTATCAAAGCGGCTTCCACCACCCTTTCAGGCAATGCATTCCAGATCCGAACAACTCGCTGTGTGAAAAAACATTTCCTCACCTCTCCTCTGTTTCGTTTCACAACTATTTTAAATCGGTGCGCTCGGGTTTACCCACCCACTCGCCAGTGGAAATAGTTTCTCCTTGTTCACCCTATTCAATCCCCTCATAATTTTGAAAACTTTATTAAGTCTCCTCTTAACCTTCTCGGCTCCAAGGAGAATAATCCTTAGCTTCTCTAGCCTCTCCTGATCACTGAAGACCCTCATTCCTGGTACCATCCGGTAAATCTTCTTTGCACCCTCTCCAATGCCTTGACATCCTTTCTAAAGTGTGGTGCCCAGAACCGAACACAGTACTCCAGCTGAGGCCTAACTAGTGTTCTATAAAGGATGGCTTCACCACAAATGGTTGTTTGACACAAGTTCACACTGGAAGAATAGAAATGTTAAAGGGTATGTTGAAACAGCCAGGTAATGAGATTGCAGTAGGAGGTTTCAATGGAGGAGCAGGCACCGGCACATGATCTCCTTTTGTGCTGTAAACCTTCTATGATATCACAGGACAGAACATGTTCAAGAGGAAGTGGCTTTATAATCACCTTGGGCACCTGGTTGAGATTGATACAGTACGGAGACAATCAACCTCTGGTCATGCCAGTGCTTGACAGTTGTTCCAAAATCACAACTCGTAACTTTATCTGCTGCGTGCCTGGTGTTGGAACCACCAGCGAGCACTTAAGGTTGTGTCCATAGCTTAACGTCAGATACCCATTACCCGGGGAAGAGAAAATATTGGGGGTTGATTAATATCCTTTTTGAAAACAAGTTCCAGAGAGCACAATCAACAAAGCTGAAAAGACAAGAAATGCAATAAATGTTTATGGAAATATTCGGTTCATAATAGGCATTGTTTCCATCTTGTCACTTTCAGTAATGATACACCGTAATGGGCTCTGAGAATCTATTCTAACCATTGTACTGTTATACGCATGTCAGACAAAGATAGTAGACTCTGTATTTTTAAGATAGGATACAGATGGAATTGCAGATTTAAGTGGCAGGTCCCAGTCAGTGGTTCATTCAGGAAACTCTTAGACACACTCTAACAGATCAGAGAGGCTGGCCACTCACACTCATGACTCAACAGATAACTTGACTATCCTCCTTGGGGCTGAGCTGGCTTGGCAACAGAATGTCAGAATCCAGTCAATCCTTTGTAGCGGACTCCCAGGCAATGCTAATGACAGACCAGATAGAGTGTCGCTGTCACTCTGGGGGTACGGTCTAGTCACTGGGGGCAGAGATTCTTCCCACTTGCCCCTGATAATCCTACAACTAAAAGCCCCAATGGTCCAGATGGTCCTGACTGTATAATCAGTGTGAAGCTTCCCAGGCAGTGTTCTCAATGGAAAGCTACGTAATTTTAGCTAGTTAAACTCCCATCAGTATCCTACGCACACTTAGGGGTCACCAAGCCTTACCTCTTACCAACTTACATCTAATACTCACTAGAATTATTCAAGCAATGAAGCGTTCCTTCAGGGAGAGAGTGTGCATTCCACTCTTGGGAATCTTCCATTTGTAGTTGCCATGTATATATGGAACTTTCACATGGGATAGCATCTCAGAACACTGAACAGTGGTGGAATTTGACACTGAACCAGGAGATAACTATTGGCAAGATCAAAGAAGAATTTCCTCAGGTGCGATTTGAAGAGGGGTACAAAGATTGAAAGGTAGAATGAATGAGGCAAGGCGTTCTTTAGGACCAGGGTGCAGTGCCTTGGGACGTCCTCCTGACGTGAAAGGCGCTTTATAAATGGAATCTTGTTGTTGTTGTTGTTGTTGCAGTGGCTGAAGGTATGGCTGCCGATGATGGAGTGGGAGGGTTGGGGGACGTGCAGAAGGTCCAAACCAGCCAGCCAGTCGAGTAAAGAGTGCGGGTAGATGAGAGAGATGTAGAGAGGTACTAAGGCATGAAGTGATTTGTAGGACAGTGTGAGTTTAGTGCAAGTAAGGATACAGGCTGTGGAGTTTGGGATCAGTTGGACTTTGTGAATGGTGGAGCTGCGGCGACCAGTGAGGATTACCTTTAATTACCTTTGATTATACGGAAACGCATGTATTAGTCTCCTAGATACAATCTTTTTCATGTTGAAACAGCTGGATGGAATTAAAAAATCACTTAAGAGAGGTAATAAGGCTTAATAAAGGAATCCTTTATGTAATACAATGCCGGGACACACCTCCACTGGCACTGCTGTTATAGAGGAGGAGCTGGCCACATCACAAGTGCTTCCTTTTTAGGTTTAGTAGAACTTGGAGATGATCCGGGACATCCCACCCTAGGAGTGTTTAGAAATGGCGAATATTGAGTGACTAACCAGCTGTCAAAGATGTAACACTGAATATGTATTGTACGCCCTATGGTATCTGCAGCTAGCATGCAAATTTACATAGGCCACGAGCCTACTGACTGCAGATACCACAGAAATTGCGGAGTCCTGTCGGATAGTGGTTAGAGCACTCAACTCACAAGCAAGAGGACCCTGGTTTGATTCCCTGCAGGGCAAAATGTTAGGCAAGTTTCCTTACTGCACACGCCTCTGTTTTCCTAGCAGTAAGTAGGAACCCGGTGTTAATCGATTGGCAGATTGCTTTTCCGGGTATAATAATATAATAATTCCTTCAAAAAAAATGTGATCACTCAATCCAACACTGCTTATGGGACACTGCTGTGCAATTCCTGCTGCATTTCACCCACAAAATGTACAGTTAATTCAGTTTACAGTATATTCTGTAAAGCGCTTTGAGAGTTATAGACATGATAAGCCGCTATATCAAATGCAAGAATTATTATTATTTAAAGCCAAAGGTTTACTGTATTATTAAAAATATACCTCTCCAAGGGTGATTCAGTTGGCCATTCAAGAACGTATACTTTTACACTCTTTTATCGATTGAACCTAGTTTCAAGTTATGTTGACAATAGGAATTACAGTACAGAGTTTGCACTGAATTGGTTTGGGAAGTGGATTGAATCAGTTCAAACTGAACAATGAAACTGTACCATTATATAGTAAAAAAGGCTAATGTTTGCACCATAATGGAATCTAATTTACAACTTGTGCTAACCATGTGTAAGCTCATGGGAAAAGAGGGAATTTCCAAGTGCTTTTTACTTTGTATTAACAACCAATGAAACAATCCTTTTCATTGGTTATTAATTATACATTGCTAGAAGAGATTACAAATTAGTCAAGATGAAGCAATATGGATTTAGCTACAGATAAAGATGAAGAGAAACCTAAATTGGAATTGATAATAGAAGTGTTCTCCAGTAAATTCAGATTGCACTCAGCAGTGTATTGTTGGAACAGAGGAAGTTGACGTAACCAGTCTAGAATGGACAAGGAGTGATGTATAGAAGAGGGATTTATGGTGATGGATTTCAATTTCTCCAAGACAGTGTTTCACTGAAATTGCAATCCAACTATAATAGCTTCATTGAAGACTGGTTCCCAGCGACTTCCCACTCCGAGACTTAACTTCAGACAATCCTACAAAACCACAGGAGAAGTTGGAAAGACATTTGATCTTATCCTTCCAGAATACTCATCTTACACGTCCTCACATCACAGCATCAAGCTGACTCTTGATGAGTCCGACCTTCTGGCCTCAAAACACCTTTCTGATCACCTCTTCCATTGGTCGAATACCCTCTGGGTAAAATGTATGCAGAGTGTTGGGGATGCACCTACTGGGTGAATGCAGCATGATTTCTGAGAGTTAACCTCTAAGTAATCATTTGGATTTTTCTACCAACTTCTGTGTCTTGGAAGGCTACTTGCCAGTTTAGGAATTTAGTGCCTTTCAGCAGATTTTAACTAAAATTTTGTAGGTATCTACGCTCACCAATCACTGGCTTCTTTCACAAAATGATTTTGCTTAAAAAATTTAAAATGTAATCTATCACCAAAGCAATTCAAAATTGCTTTTCGATTCTCCCAAACGTACCTCTCTTCATCCTCTGGGCTCCTTTCAAAAGTGGGCGTGATAGGTTCTGCCAGTTCATCAGACCATGTGGATTGGAAACACCAATTGTTTAACGATAATTCAATAAAGACGTTTTATCGGATTGTCAACTAACATGATGGACAACTCTTGCCAGACATTAGGGTTTTTCACGATTAGACTTGCTGGAAACTGTCAACACTATCATTGACCTGTGATAGTTAAGTTTCGCAGACTGCAGACGGTTGTTGCAGTTTTTGGAGTTGTAATTCATGTGTGCGTTCTGTGTATGTAAATCACATAGTCACCCTGATTGCAATCCCCTTCGCTGGCCTATACTCCCAGGTGATCTAAAGACTAGAATATGGGAAGCGTGTGAGCTCTTTATATACAGTATTAAGGTTTTTACTCAGTCGTCACTGAAAAAAAATGAAAGCCCTACACCTTTGTTTTGTGTGTTTTAGTCATGTTGTTAGCGAGGAGATATTAATCCAATCTCAACTTTTTTTTGGCAGGGTCTGAACGGAATGTCTGTGGATGAGAAGCCGGAGTCGCCAATGTATGTATATGAGTCAACAGTTCATTGTGCAAATATCCTCCTGTGCCTCAACGACCAGCGTAAGCAGGATATCCTCTGCGATGTGACCGTGCTGGTGGAGAGGAAGGAGTTCCGAGCCCATCGAGCTGTGCTGGCCGCCTGCAGCGAGTACTTTTTAAAGACTTTGATTGGGCAAGCAGAACATGAACTGGTCATCACCCTGCCAGAGGAGGTATGTCCCAACCACTCAGGATTGTGCACTGCCCACATATGACTTAGCTTGCTCAGTTGCAGGAAGTATGACTTAGGTTCACTCTCACTCTCCTTGCTGCCTATAGTAACATCATCTCCTGAGTTATGAGAACAAGTTTATTTTTATTCTCTTTGATTTCAACATCGCAGCAGAGATTTTTTTTTGAGAGGAGAGAAGAAAAAACAACCAAAGAGTTAGAGTAGATGTCCGAAGCCCAAAGTCCATTGTCTTAATATTTAACAAATTCCCAGGATTTTGTAAAATTCTTAAATTCAACAGCAACAACAAATTTTTTATAACGACTTTCACGTCGGGTGGACGTCCCAAGATGCTGTCTTAATTTGGATGTTATTTTTAAGAAACGCAGAAAAACAGGAACTCCAAGTTAAGACTGAATCAGTGTTCCAAAATCCTTCACCATTTTAAATTTTAAGACAATGGTCTTAAGGCTAAGATCCTGAAACCTTTCAGGCTCCTGGTCCACTTCAGAAGATGTAGCATGTTGCTTGGTGGGCCAGTGAATAGCACTGCAGAATATTTGGTATATGGGTCCATGCCTCCAACCTCAGAATAAGTCTTTATCATACCTTTTAATGATTGTTTTTTTTAGATTTGTACCCTGTCACTGGCCAGTGGAAATAATGTATTAATATTTGAATAATTTATTACTACTTTAAAATAATACATTATCTTTGAAGAAGCAAAGTACGTTGAGTACTTAATTACTATGCATTAGTTCTTCACAGACGTTGCTCAATCTGGAATGTTTACCTCACTGGAAGGAGCTATTATGTACCATTGCTAAGCATTTTCCATTGTAAGTACACTGGATATGTTTTGCTGCGTTTTACGAATAATACAAAGTAAGCTTCATTAGGGTATAAATAACAAGAACAACTTGCACTTATATAGCGCTTAACAATGGTGGAGCCCAAGGCCGAGCCAGAGGAAGGGGGATGGTGACCGTAGGCACGGTCGAAAAGGAAGGTCTTCAGGCGCAACCTGAAGATGGGAAAAGAGGGGGGGCGAGGCAAAAGGGTTGAGGGAGGGAGTTCCAAAATTTCAGAGCATAGTGGCTGAAGGCACGGCCGCCGATGGTGGAACGGAGGATTCAGGGGACGCGGAGGAGGCCGGACCCAGGACAGCGGAGGGGAGAGGGAAGGTTAGAGAGATGGGGGAATGCCAAGGAATGGAGAGATTTAAACACCAGAGTGAGGATCTTGAAGTCGATCCGCTGTGTGACAGTGAGCCAGTGGAGTTTGGCAAGGACTGGGATAATCAGGGTGCGAAATTTAATGGGGGTGAGAATGCGGGCAGCAGAGATTTGAATGAGCTGAATTTTGTGGATAGTGGAGGAGGGGAGACCGGCGAGGAGGGCATTAGAGTAGTCCAGCCATTGTAAGTACACTGGATATGTTTTGCTGCGTTTTACGAATAATACATAGTAAGGGTTTCGGCAGCTTTTTGGGTGAGGTATTGTCGGAGACAGGCAATGTGGCGGAGGTGGAAGAAAGCAGTGCTGATCAGGGACAGGATGGGGGGGAGGAAGGATAACTGGGAATTGAACCTGATGCCTAAGTTGCGCACAGGTTCAGAGAGTTTTAAGGACAGGTCGGGTAGGTTGAGGAGATCGGAACCATGGGATAGAAGCTGTTGGCGGGAGCCGATGAGTATGGCTTCCATCTTGACGTGTAACTATAATAATAATAATAATAATCCTTGCATTTGATATAGCGCTTTTCACGTCGGGAGGACGTCCCAAAGCGCTTCACAGAACACAGTGTAAAGTGAATTGACTATATATTTGTGGGCGAACGCGGCAGCCAATTGCGCACAGCAATGTCCCACAAACAGTCATAGATTGAAAATGACCAATTTATTATTGTTTTTTTTTGGAGGGATTATTATTAGGCGTATGGAGTAAGGAAACTTGCCCAAGGTTTCGCCCTGTGCCTGGAATTGAACTCAGGTCTCTCACTTGCAAAGCGAGTGCTCTAACCACTGAGCTACAGGACTCCATCTTGGAACTGTAGGAAATCTGTGCTCATCCAGCTCCTGATGTCCGACAGAAGCTGACAGAACATCAGGGGACTGGGGGTTTCAGCTGGAGGTGGAAAAGTAGAGTTGAGTGTCATTCACATATATGTGGAAGTTGACCCTTCTGTGGAGGACATCACCGAGAGGGAGCTTATAGATGAGGAAGAGAAGGGGTTAAGGATGGATCCTTGAGGAACCCCGCAGTGACCGGGTGAAAGCGAGAAGAAAAGCCATTTGCAGAAATGGAGTGCTGGCGATTTGTAAGGTAGGACTCGAACCAAGCGAGTGTGGTCCCACTGAGGTGGATAAGGGAGGACAGGTGGTGGAGGAGGATGTCGTGATCGACTGTGTTGAACGCGGCAGAGAGGTGCAGGAGCACGAGGAGGCAGAGGGAGCCCTGGTCACAGATAAAGAGGATATTGTTTGTGACCAGAAATAACCAGATTAAGCTTCCATTTGGATTTTTTGTTTATATGTTTATATGCCGAATGGCCTCTTTTTGGGCCGAATGGCCTCTTTTTGTGCTGTACGATTCTATGATTCTTTGTTGTTGGGTAACTGATATAATACAAGTATCAGATTAAATTCAAAGTTGAATGATGTAAGGTTTGTTTAGTTCAATGTTAGCGTATTTCTAGAAGAACGTACATTATGCACTGATACACTGGCAACAAGCAACAAGGTTAAAAAAAAAGTAATTTATATTATTTTTGTGAGTGTCCGTGACATGAGTCTGGATGTGCAAAGACATTCACAAAAAGAATAAAAATACTATTTTTTTAACTGGGGGTTGGAAGAGGGCATTTAAAAGCACAACGATGAAGCATACAAGTTTTTCAGTGGCATTATGGAGTGTGTTTAAGGTTGTATCTCAAATATTAGTGCTCAGATGGTAGTTTATCATATAATATCATCCTTGAGAGTGGAGGTCACGTGAGGTTTGACTCCCACTTGACTATACCTGTCTGACTTGGGCATTTGTGTGACCAGGACTTTCATACACCCAAAGTATTTTTTTACAAAATTGTGTCTGAATATTTATTTTAAGAATTTCCACAACAGAATCAATCTTATTCTTGTTTGAAGTTCCATGATGCATTACGTTTAATCAGCAGGAGTCATAAAAGGATTTGCAGAAAGCTGTGTCTCATGCTGACTTACATCAGTTGGATGACAGTCTCGTTTCCAGTTTGTGTAAAGTCGGATCCATAGAGAGGATGCCCTGACAGGGGATTCCACAAAATTGGCATCTGTGCTGAGTTCCGGGGGGTATCAGTATCAAGGACCCTGGCAGGAACAGAATTGAAATGCTGAAGGGTTTCTCTTCATCTGCTCCTTTCTTTGTGAATTTGTGTGCCCTTATGGATGGACTATTGCGGGGTAGATCAGGAAAGGAAAAAAATTGGAAGTAGTTTATCTTTACAATTATTTCTAAAAATAAAATAATGAGCCACATCAGGGTATTGTAAGATTTTGTATGTGCAAATCCCTGCATATTGGACCCAGTGTATCATTCTATCGTGACGTAAGCACATTTTAGAATCCGATTGCTGATGTTACCACCAGAAATCCTTTCCTTCTTTTAACACAGCTGCATTTTAAAAGAATTGCACAGATAAGGTACTTCTGATTTTTTTTTCCTGGTCTCCCTACAACAAACATTAAAGGAAGACGCACAAGATCTCAAGAAAGGTTCTGATGAAGAAAGTTCTTTGGTCCTTTGGGTATCATCTTTCCAGAGTCTTTAACACTGTTACCATATGGTTAGACCACATTTGGGGTACTGTGTCCAATTCTGGTTGCCACATTACACAAAAGATGTAACAGCAATGGAGAGAGTACAGAATAGGTTTTCGAGGATGATACCAGAGCTCAATAACTACTGCCATGGATTGTTTCACCATATTGAATAAATTACTGGAGTTCAGTTTGTCTTTATCCTTTAGGATCTGAAAACGTCAATATAATTACTCCTCAGTTGACTCTTCTCCAAAGTAAACAAATATCTTCAGCTTTTCCAATCTTTCCTCATAACTCAAATGCCATCCCATGTGTTAGTTTAGTCCTCTTTCCTTGTATCGTCTCCACTGTTTTCTTGATAGATACAAATATCCACCAGAAAGAGTTCTTCCCCCTACCTCTGCAACGTTCTAACCCCCTACCAACCTGTCTGCTCCCTCCGCTCAGTGGGCTCCGGCCTGCTTTATGTCCCTCGCTTTGCCCGCTCCAGCATTGGCTGACGGGCCTTCAGTCACCCTCAGAAATTACATCACACAGTCCCTTCCCCATCACCCCTTCCCTTGCTTCCTTCAAGACCTGTCTCAAGACCCTCCTCTTCGACTGTGCCTTTGATCACCCTCCTTCCCCCCCTGCCCTCCACCCTCCCCGATCCCGAACCCCAGCTCGAGTCTGTAACACTGATTGTCCAGCACTTTGGGACGTCCTCCCATCGTGAAAGGCACTATACAAATGTAATTTTATTGTTGTTGTTCTGAGAGAGCACCAAAAATACTGTGGTATCTGAATTGAATTTTCAATAAAGAAAATGATTACATTTTGGAGGCTTTATATAAGGAAATGTTTAATGATAGAATCACAATCTTAGTGATTCCGTCACTGACACTGTTAATTAGGACACAAAGCTCCTTTAGCATTTTACTGACTCAAAGTATGCAGATATATTCACTAGAGTATAACTAGAATAATGAAGCAATTAACATATTGCAGGAGTTTGCTTGATAACAAGCTACTATAAAACTCTTAAGCTATGTTGGAACTTTGAACTCACAGTCCAAATGGAGTGCTGAGGCTGTGTTGCGCTGTCAGAGGTGTATCCTAGTGTCTGGGTCAACAATTACCCAAATAAAATTGGTCATTCACTTCATAATATTAATAATAATCCTTGTATTTGGTATAGCACCTTTCATGTAGGAGGATGTCTC